CCCCAAACCCACCTCTCACCACAGTGCTCTCAGTACAGGGTACACTCTGTCCAGTGCCTGCTGCCAGAGTCAACATGCAGCATTTGTCAACTCTGCTTTCCCTTCCCTGTTCAAGTCTTTGATACGCAACACCCTGAGCATCCCCTGATGCCCACTGAGGCTTCCAATGAAAGGTCCATATGCTCCTAACTGACCAAATTCTGCTCCTTTCCATTGCTGATATAGAGACACAACATGACCACAACTCAGGTACTGGGCTGCTTTATTTGGTTCCACTTGGGTAAGTTTTCACTGACCTTACAATCCTTGTTTGTGTGTGTTCATATATATTTCCATTCTGGCAGCCAGCAAGTTTGTAGCTAACCAGTGATGTTTGGATAAATAAATGAAGTAAAAAAGGAAAAGAAAACCCTGTTTTTTGACTAAAGAGCCCTTCTCCCACAACCAGCTACGGCTTCCATAGCAGCATTACGTAGTGTCTTTTTTTATGTTTTAACTGAAGCATTTCATAAAACTGGTCTAAAGAAAGAGACGTGTGTGTCTTCAGTAAAGTCCATGCAATTACTAGCAATCAAATTGCAATCTAATGCCATCTTTAGGCAGGAAACACAGAGGAGGGCTGAAAAGAAAAATCAATTCTCCATCAAACAGGCAGCCCCTGGTGACCAGCTCAGCAATAGCGTTTGTGCTGTCGTTACTGGCTGCTCCAAACCACTTGAGAAAATCCTCAGGCTAGTAGGCCCCCAGGAACAGCCAACGGCCAGGTGCACGCTGCAACATTCCCTGTTAATGAGACATAAGACACAACAATTTATCATCTATTTGATGAGAGTCTAACTTTTACATACTGGGATACATGAACCCCGAGAGGTAGGCGACAGACATACCTGTTTAGCAACCAGTTTAGAGTGTAAAAGCTAGATCCATACACATGTCCACGTGCACACATGCCCAAAAGTTGATTTTCAGTTTAGAATAATGGCCACTAAGCATTTTTTTTAATTTTTTTTTGTTTTTTGACGGGGGTGGTGGAAGGAAGCAGGAAACATGCTGAGCCCCCTGAGCAAATCCCACAAAGGCATTGGAAGCCCCATGCTGCCAGAGAGGAGCCCGGCAGAGCACCCGCTGAGTGGTGTGCACGCACACACCTGCGCACGCAGACACAGCCATGTATGCACGACCACGCTCTGCTGCTTTGGCAGTGCCCGGCTAAGAGCTCAGTGCAGGTATGGGGCGAGAGTCCTCTACCATCATCTTCCTCACCCCCATTCCTCCCCTTTTGCACCTTGCAACAAGGCTTCCAGGCAATTCAGTCCGAAACAACAGTGCGGCTGTGCCCTGGTCGCACAGTGGAGCTGGTCTGCGTGGGACAAAGAGGTCACCCTACTCCTGAGCAGGGAGCGAGCCAACAGTTTCTGTAGTGTGTATGGACATCAGCAGCATCTGCTAAGCAGCTGTCAGGGCAAGATGCAGATGGTGCAACACCACCCTACACCCAACGCCAGTAAGTGCTGCCTATAAATTGTACAAAATTGCTTACAAAATTCTTCCCTGGGTGGCAGAATGAATGAAAGTTCAGCTTTTCAGTAAATTTTTGCCACGTGGTCAGGAGCTCTGGTGTTCAGAAAGACATCATCTTCAACCAAAGTTGTCCCATGGAGTGACGAAAGTTGATCTCCTATCTACAGACACCTTCTCTGTATCACTGTTCCTTTATCAGCCTCTGTATTTCAGCCACTTTTGGCTCCATACTGTCCTGCTTTTCCTTCCATACTCTCCGGCCCCTTAAGCAGAGTGCAAATCACTCATTTTTCAAGCATCATCCCCTGATGTCTGCCATTACTTGTCTTATCTGGAGTTTCCATCACATTTGGATGTCGGCTGGAAAAGAATGTGGAAGAGCACAGACATGTGGCATTGCTCTAAAGCTCTCTGGAGAGAAAGTACTGCTTGAGGGAAGAACTGGACCAAATTAAGCTTATTTTCTTGTTGTTGTTTGCAAAGCCCATGAAGATATTTGGCAGGGGGAGGCCTGAGGGGAAAGCTTTCACTCTCCAAAGTGAATGCTTCAGTGTTGTTTCTATTGTCTCCAGGAAAAACAGAAGGAAAACCAAAAAAACCCAAGAAACACATATGCAACAGCTAGTTCTATATGAACAAACAAGCATACAGAAAGTGGTTACATACACCACCAGTCAAGGAGAAATAATGCAAACAAAGACAATATATCTCATTTTCAAGCTTTTCAGGAAACAAAAACCATCAGATGACTTGTTACCACACTCCTCCTGCAATGACACGGAGCTAACAGAAAACAAATAGCAAAGGTAACCCCTTACCCCATTACTTATCCAGGGATTTCAGAAGGAAGCTCAACTACATGCAACTTCAAAACAATCTGTGTAAGGAACTAGTAATCCTTAGTAGATCAATGACCAAACCTGGGCTGCCTACCGGACACTACAAATATTAGCATTTTAATTCAAAAGGTCAAAGAGCAACTGTTGGCCACATACGCCAAACTCCAGGCTGATTACAGTCACTGGAGGCACAGACCAAAGCTTCCCAAGTGGTGGATTCTGCTCTAGGTTTCGACTTAAATGTATCTTGCCTCAACCTCACCCTGATCATCACGTGCTGGGGACAGTGAAAGTTCACATTTTGCTGTTTGGCTCTCTTGGGAAGTAGGTGTCTGAGCATTATGTACAGCTGAGCAGACATCACCAAAAATTAACTGAGCCTAAGTTAGCCAGTTCCATACTTTCAGTCTTTTGGGAATTCACTAAGTTTCCTGCATAAACTGTAACCCTCATAAATCCACAGCGAAAGCTTGGAAATGGATCCATTAAGATACATACAAATGTCTCTCAACAGATCGCCAAAGGAAGCATGGCGTTAAACCACTATCTGCTCTCCAGAGAACTCCCCTCCTTCAGCAGAGCCCAGAATAAATAATGCAATCCATTAAAGAAACACTCCTGTTCTTTCTTTGTACATGAAACTGAAAAAGCCGCACACAAAGTTCAGCTGAAATTGAAGTGGAGCAGCATTTGAGGATACATCCCACAGACACTGAATTGTTTAAGGAAAATTGCTGTTGCTCACGTAGAAACATGAAGATTTTCACTTTGAGGGTGACCAAGCACTGGCACAGGTTGCCCAGAGAGGTTGTGGAGTCTCCCTCCTTGGAGACACTTGAAAGCCAGATGGACATGGTCCTGGGCAACCAGCTCTAGGTGGCCCTGCTTGAGCAGGGGGGTTGGTGGGACCACATGACCTCCAGAGGTCCCTGCCAACATCAACCTTCCTGTGATTCTGTGAAAGCAGAACTCTGTCTCTCATCTGTGCAGCTCCAGGGCCTGCCTATTGATCGAGAAAGGCTTTTTTAAATTAAAAACTAAACCAAAAAAACGTTTGGAACCTTCAGTCAAACAGTGATTGGAGGAACACTCACTGGCAAGTCTGGAAGCAATAACACTAACTGGCACTTCTAATCCTGATTCAGTGCATCTCTCCACAGAATGAGTTATTGATTCCCTTCCAGGACTGAAACTGCTAAACATCTTCAGTGTCATCAGGGCTTGTTTTTTTAAAGACTAAGTAATCTGCTGTATAAGGGCCTGAATAACGCATATGTAACTTTGGGGTTTTTGTGAATAAGCTGTGCCGCCTGAGGGAAAAATGTTCAAATGGATGATTTCTCAGACTGTACCTGTGGCCATTATTTGAAAAACTTGTGCATTGCATGTTACAGAATGCAGTGCTGTTATTCACAAAATGTATATGCTCCTTCCCATCCAAGTTACCCAGCTCTCATGCCTACACTAGGAAAACAAGCTTCTATCTGAAGTGAACTAAGTGGATTACACTACAATGCAGACACAGCAATGACTTTCAAAGCAGACACAAAAAAGCTTTTTCTGAATGGGGTAAGCTCAGGCATTTCAGGAACACTAAGAGCAGCATCTCAGAATCCAGCATAGATAATCTACCAAGGTTTTTAAGTGTAACCTGAACTAAGCTCCATGGTTCCCCAGCTAATGTATTGGAAGGTAAGCCTGACCTAGTTGAAAACAAAAGTTAAGTTTCTAAAGCATTTCAAGTCTGCATTACACTTGAGTGCAAGCTAAACACGCTCTTTCAAGTGCAATGAGCATACTCGGCACTTGGCATACTAAGCATCAATTTGAGTCAACTAACAGCTAAGCAACACATTTTTATACACAATTCCCTGGTCTATGCAAGAGGTAGAAATAGAATTTTACACTTTTACAAGAAAAAGGTTAGTTCTCCTGCAAATCTCTATCTATGGCTAATCACTCTACTTTTACTTACATCATGAATTACATTTCTGTATTAAATTTATTTTGAAATCTAAACCAAACAAAAATCAAATTACAACTTTGAGCCAAGCATGCAATAGAGGCATTGTCTATTACTGGCCTGTAATTCTGAATTATATTGACTTGTCCCACTGATTTTCTCCATACCTGCCCAAAGTTACACTTTAGGATAGGACAGATCCACCTTTCTAGAGCATCTTCCATGAAGAACAAAGGAGGAGGTACAGCCACAGAGAGCTGGCTGACAGATAAAAAGGAAGTACTTCAAGACACTTCAGAAAAGCATGTCACCCCTGGTCATTGTGATGTCCTCTACCTCAAAGTTGGGATCCCTCTTCCAGAACATTTACCTGAAAATTTGCAGTATTGAGATAGTACATTTACATTTCTAGCAAAGGCATGCTTGTTCACCAAGAGTTCCAGACGACTAACATTTAGTAAATTCACCTTAAAAACACATCCAGGTAGTAACTAGTTCTATCAAGTATAAGCTGGCATACAAAACCATTTTTTAATTACAAGTAAGTCTATTTACCTTGCTTCAAGAGTTAGATTTACTTCCCCAAAAGCCAGAGAACACACCGTGCAATCAGAATACTGCAGCTGACTGGCCAAAAAACACTCTGGACATGATCACACCACCACTAGGTATCTTCATTCCACCTGTATTTATTGAAAAATATTTACATATTGATTACTATGCTATTAGCTGCTGTAATAGCATCTTTACATAGAAGAGGTAATGAAGAACATGACACTGAGATGGAGGAAGAGTCGTAAAAATGTCTTTTCAAATGTCTTTTTTTTTTCTCCAAGCTGTCATAAGCGAAGAAAGTTCTCAGACTGAGTGTGCTGGAGTCCCACAGTGTGTGCGCCACAGATCAACAGCTTTGCTGACAATAGCGTCAGTGTTATCTTGAGGAATCTACAAAAGATCAGGGGAAGACGCCTTGTCAGAGTACTTTATTTGGACTGCTTAGTTTAAAATATTTAAATTTCCAGTTCAGATTTTATTTCTTTTTAAAAAAGAAAACAAAACTAGAATCCCACCTCCCTACCCTACCATCCCACCATCCCTCAGTCCTACATGCATCATATTACCTCCAGGTTTTAGACAAAAAGGCTTTTATTTACAAAATGGTAAGATGATCACCCAGGCATCTCACACATGACACATCCCTAACCTAACATCAGGCAGAACTTATACTGGCCATCCATGACCACAAATGTACCGAATCTAACTAACCTGCATTACATGAGGATCCTACAGCCCTGCTGCAAAGCTCATTACTATTCACAGAAGAAAAGTTCAGTGTCAGGTTCACGATCCCATCCTTGTATCAACAGAAAACATACCTTGAGTCTATAGATTCACACTCAAAGGAGCAAGGAGCAAAAAGGTGTCAGAAACCAACCCTGAAAAGAGCTTCCAGAAATACGAACCTAACCTCATCTGCACTTACTTTCACAGAAAAACCCTTTAGTATCACAAGGAATAGTGTCAAATCTGTACAAACATAGATAACATTCCCCAAAGCCTAAAAATCATTTAATTCTATGAAAGCCTTACCTCCTGATAGAAAAAAAACATTATTCTCATTTCTGCACATTCTCTCTTCCCCTTGGTACCACTACACTATTCTCGGTGAGTATCTTACAGTATGTTCGCAATAGGCAAATTACTTTAAGGCTGAAACACGTTTTTATAAAGCATAAAAGGTAATGCAAAGCACAACAGAGTACTTACATTTTCCAAAAACTGTGTGATCTTTTCTGCAGTGTTCAGCGCTATTATCTTCATTTTAAAGGTTAATAATATCTCCACAGCAACAAAAACAAGAATCTTGCAGGACCCGCTAATAACTTTGTCCCAAACTCTACAAAAAAATGCAAAGGAATCCCTAAACATTAATGTAGTGCTTATCCGCTTATTTATCTGCTAGAACAGTTTCTGTACAATCACCTTTTTCCAGATTTTTTCTGAATAATCGCAATGTATTGCATTATTCAGGTCAGGGTAAATAAAAGACATTTTATCAATTCCTAAATCTGTACAGAGGAGAGCGATGGCAAGCACTGAGGTATTGATTGGTGTTCTTGTTTAGAAATGGAACTGTTTACAAGCTCAAATACAAAAAGCAAATCTTGTTTTAGTAGCCTGAACTGTGACAACTATTCTACCATATACGGCAAAAGTGAGAATTTTTCTTAGTGCAAAAAAGAAACAAATTTTATTAGCATGCCTAATAAAGACACTCTTCAAACAGTTAAGTAGCTGAGAATTCAAAAGGATGTAATACTGAACTACTACATCTCAAGAAGCTAAATATTCCAGGTCATTGCTGTATGAGATACAAGCATAATACATCAGCAGGACATAATCCATGATGTTTAAATTGGACACAGGGAACGATTAACTCTTTCAATCCATCCCACTCTGCACAGATTCTCTCAGAATTACATAAGCACTCCTACCATTTGTATGAAACTGTACCTGGACCGCACAGTTTTAACAAAATCTGAAGGTCAGGCCTCCAAAGGCTGCAAATACTTTAGCAACAGCACTTGGATGAATATTAAAAGGGATCCACACTACTAAAGCAGCCTGCAACAATTTGAAATCATCCTTCAGCCAGCAGCTCTCTCAGGCCCAACTCAACAGGCTTGGGATGAAAGATTATCCAAAACCAGTGTGAAACCATCTGTCAGATGGCAGCTTTTATGGGCTTGCATTATTTTTAGTTCTTGAATTTTAAGAGCTGTGTCAGAAAGACTTTCTGAGAATTACTGTTCTTGCTCCTTTCAGGCACTTGTTAGAAGTGTTTCTCCTTCCAAATAAAAAACAGGGGACAAAGATCACATACTGTCCTCCATCATCTCTGAATACAGTAACACTAACTGGAAAACATCTTCTGCAGCCCACCTATAAACTTGGATCTATGGGTGTACTTCTTCCAAAGACAATTCAATTTTTATATGACCTTCTCTCTCAGAAGAACTTGCCCTTCAGCCTGGAGTGCCAGGAGAGCACAACGCAAGCATAACACGAACTTTGACATCTGAACCAAAGAGTAGGTATCACACCTTTAAGCAAGAAGGAGTTAAGAAGTAAAAGTCCAACAAAGAGCCGTGAAGATGAAGGGACTGAAGCATCTCACCTATGAGGAGAGGCTGAGAGACCTGGGACTGTTCAGCCTGAAGAAGAGAAGGCTCAAGGGGGAACTCATCAATGTACTTAAATACTTGAAGGGAAGGTGCAAAAAGGATGGAGCCAGACTCTTCTCTGTGGTGCCCAGTGACAGGACCAGAGGCAACAGGCACAAACTGAAACACAGAAGGTTCCCTCTGAACATTTTTTCACTGTGAGGGTAACTGAACACTTGCACAGGCTGCCCAGAGAGGTGGAGTCTCCCTTCTTGGATACGTTCAAAAGCCGCATGGACATGGTCCTGGGCAACCAGCTCTAGGTGGCCCTGCTTGAGCAGGGGGGGTTGGTGGGACCAGATGACCTTCAGAGGTCCCTGCCAACCTCAACCCTTTTGTGATTCTTTGTGAAAAGCTTTTATAACTCATAATGTGGAATGGTTGCTGCTGTTACAGTGCTTATTTTTCACACTGTAACTCAAGTCAATTCTTTGTCGGTTTCTTAAACTTCTATTCACATAACTCCTTTGACACTATTTTCACAACTTCTCCATTCAAAAAAGAGTTAGACTAGAATTTAACTTATAATGAAGAAATGAGGAAAAGAATATGTAAAATCCTCAGGACTATTCTTACAAAAGAAGGACACAAAAAAAACACATGGAGAGATGAGGGAATGCCAATTTCTTTTCCCTTTGCCATTTAGTTTTAATTCCCTGTCTTGCTATGATTAAGAATGAATATAATTCCTTTATAGGCAGGAACAATAAATAATCCAAGATTAAAATCTTACTGCTTCCTTTGTGGTTCAAGCATCCCAGGACAAGCGATCACTGTAAATATCACACTGATGTTGAAGTCAGGTCCAGAAGATTTAAGCAAGGCTATGAGAAAACTGAGACCACACTCCTGCTCCACATTGTACAGGTCATCCCTGTTTACTTCTAATGCATTTTCCTTCACAAACATATCTGTTTAGAACCCAAGAACAGCTCCCCATGTGCTTCATAGGCATCAGAACTGTAATTATGAATGACAATACAGAGAGTAGCAGACAGGAAAGACTTTTTAAAGTTCATATTAATGCTTATGTTAATTCAAATACAAACTTACTAATCCAAATATAAAACACCCAGCTTGCTTTCATTATTGTGCTTCCAAGTCTCCTGACTTCAGTCTCCATAATTACGCTACAGTAGGTTACAATTCATGCTCAGAAAACACTCTAATGTTTTCCTGCATTATTTAGCCTGAATCCAGAACAAACGTTTTAACAATGGCAAAACAGATGCAGTATCTAAATCACCAGTGCCTAACAAATTTTGGAAGAGGGTGCAGAGCAAAGTGGATGAGATGGTGGCACTAACCAGCTGTGTCTGCTGCATTATTTTTCCCCTTAACATTTCCAGTTATTCTTACTCTCAATGCAACTCTACCAGTGACAGGAACAGGGGAATAACTGTGTGACACTGTGACAAACAGACCAGTGGTCAGCACCTTGTCTATACCAGCAGAGCCAGGAATAGCAACATAAACTGTGTTTACTTAGAATGGAAAAAACCCACAGCAGCCTCAAGAAAACATGTATTTTGATGACTATTCTAATATAGCAGCCTTTATACATTGTATCTCTATTGATGATAATATAAGTATTCTACATCTACTTTTTAAATCACAGCAAACACTTAAGATCAAGTATACTATCAGAGATTGTAGCTTTTTACTTATTTGTTCATATTCCTAGAGATGGGAAAATTATAACAGAAGTGTCATGCAACTGTGCCTATAGCCCTACTCAGGAATGCTGAAAAAGGAAATACACACTAAATTCATTATGGTTTTTGTCACTGTCATCCTCTGTGAAATATAACAGTATTCAATTCACCATGGGAGCACTCGTGTAGGTATTTCTTGAACAGTGAAATAGTAGGAACAACCACAAGGAAAAATAAAAAGAAATGGGAAACTATGAAGGTAAAGAGCATGCCAACGATTATGCAAATTAAGCCATTTACTTTTCACTGAGCTTTTTCTGTAGAGAAGATACAAATTACTCTGTGTGTGTACGCGTGTGAAAGCATGGCATTCTCAAGGCAGTTTCTCAGGTTCCTCAACTGCTACAGTGCAGTAGTATATAAAAAGCATCACAGCATTGCTGCACTCTCTTTTTCTGAAATATTATCATTAAACTCACAGCTTTTTCCCCTAGGCTGCAGGGTAAGCACGCTCAACCTTATTCCTTGGTTCTAGTCTTCCAGTCATCCATGCCAGAGATGTTTAAACAGAACCAACACTTGCTTCTCTGCCTGCACTTCTGGGTGTCCTTCCAATGGTAACCAGGCACGGAGGGACACAACAAGGCTCACACAAGTCTCATCCTGATGCCATGTCATGAGCTTGTCTCCATCTGTTTCCAGAGCTGGGAAGCAGCTCAATTATTTAGACAAAACTTAAACAGACTTAAGTTTCTCTGTAGTAGTAGCCCACATGGACATTCTTATGCCCTCCCACACCATAGTAAATGTAATCATTTCTCATATTTCTGTCGTGTCTACTAACAAATGACTTATAGTTTTACAACTAGATGTAATTTATGCAGGAAACGGAGATCACAGATGTAAAACTACAGAAGCCATGTATTAATACATGAAGTAGTGCCAGTTTGAAAGGCAGCCATAAGATCTCAGGAGAACTACCAAATACTTTGCCACAAACAAGTTACCAGAGGCTAATAACCTAACACCACCCGATCAGCTATTACAGCCCTGCTTATGCCAAGTCTTCAGTGCAGAATACAAACAATGGTAGTCAGGGGCACGATACATAATTGGCAATAAAAATGTTTCGCTTATTCACAATTATATCTGCAAAGATGCACTACTTCTGTTGTAGCTGGATCATCTGGGGTGACTGTGCTGGAATAAACTGGCAGCCAAAGTGCTATTTTGCCTGTAGAGCTGAAGTCACAAACAGGACATCCAGCTTTAACAGCGGGGCTCTCCGGCTGGGGGCTCACACAGCACCATTTGAAAGCACTCCACGCACGGGGCTTACTGAGCAGATGACAAGATAAGCTGTTGCAGAAATTGAGCAAACAGGGCAATGGTGAGTCTAAAATCAAAGGTGTGATTCAGTTCTCTCCCTGACTGAGATACAAGTAAGCCTTTGTGTCCTTCTCAAGCTGGTTCGTGTTCCAGGAAGCACTGTCTATATTCCAGGTGGGATAAAGAAGCCCTGAGGATACTGTGCCTTTGAAATGGCCGATCTGTTCCTCTCTTTTACCAGTGTGGCACCTTTAAGAAGTTTAAGAAGCTCATCACATAATGTCAAGTGTATTAGGGCAAGCAAAGACACCACATAAGCTCAAAGGAAAAGTTTCTACGTGAAACCTGTTCATATACATTTTCCAAGCCCATTTAAATTAAACTGATGCATAAATTTTACCTATGGTATAACTAGCAGAACTGTGCTATAAAACAGCATTTATACAGAATGACAATGCCTGTCGGGAGTAAAGCTGGTATTATGCAACTTCATCTCACCATTATTGGATAAAATTTTTGCACAGCATATACAAATCTTGTACACCTTAAATAAAAAAAAAAGAAAACAATGAAATTTAGATTTAGCTGCCTGGCAGAGAAGACTACAGTTTATAGAAAGCAAGCAACCTCTCTAAGAAATACAGTACTACATCGTAAGTTAAAGTAAATCATAAACGACTGAGCTCAGATCATCTCTCCCTTGACAAAAAAGTAAGTAAAACTCACAGGAGAATTGGAGACCTGTTTTCAATTCTCAGCAGTTCCAACACTGCCATTTGGATACATTTCAGATAAGCATTCGGGCTTCTAGATTCTAATCCAAACTGAATCTCCAAGCACTAATTAAGTTCATCTGTCACATGCTACCCATGAAGTATGTTATTTCCTTAGCAAATGAGGCCATTATGATTACAACTGAATAATTCAGAAACCTTAACTGGCAAGAAAAAGCGCACTTTTGTCATGTTCCTACAAGAACTGTTGGGAAAAGGGATTGCTGTGCCATCGGAAGTACCAACACTGAAATTTGTTTTTACTCCAGAGTGACTCAAAAAGCCAATATTTTGACCTTTTTCATGAAAAAAAAAAAAAAAACAAAAACGTATTTACAAAATTTCAGGTCATCAAAAGATTCTGTTTCAGTAAGGTAAAACAGTATACGAGCAGGCTAAACAGTACAGTAACTAGATAAAATATTTTCTACAAAACACATGGTTTTAAAAGGTGTAAGTTTGAAACTAAAGATTCTGACAAGATGAAATACGAAAATCCAAATTCTTCATCTAGATTTTTTCTTTTATACTATCAAGATGATACAGGTCCATAAAATGTTCAATTTTCAACAGAAATTCAAAAAAACCCTGAATCTTCCAATAGCAAAACGGCTCTGATGCAAATTCCTCTTTCAGCTCTAGTTCTCAGCCATAAGACCTAGTAGCAAAATTAAATCACATAAGCTCTAAATAAAAATACCTCCTAGAAGGCATGCAAAGAGGTTCCTAATGCAGTAGTTTGCAAAGGTTATTTCAGATCACAGAAGCCTACAGAAAAAAAGGCATGAAGACATTGGCAAGTCCCAGGTAGAGCAGCCACTTCTACTGGCAAATTGCATTAAGTTTCACAAAGAGGAAGCACAATTAAACAAGGCTGGACAAGGCTTTGAGCACCCAATCTAGTGGAAGGTGTCCCTGCTTATGGCAGAGGGGTTGGAACTAGATGATTTTTAAGGTCTCTTCCAACCTAAACCATTCTACGATTCTAAGGTCAATCATTATCTGCTGAAAGCAACCTACAAATGCAAACGTCAAAGAGAGATACAGGCAAACCCTATGTGTACAGTTGCTTTTAAGGATCTAACAAGCATTTTATGCAGGCTTACATAATTTCTGTAGCCATAAAAGAAGTAAAAGCTTTTAACCACCACATCATGCACAACTACAACAGAGATGACTATTTTGGAGCCTTATGGGTGCTTGATGAGAAGAACTCGCCGTGTAACAATTATTGTGCTGCACACAGCATAACACCCAAAGATCTACCACCGAATCCTTCAGTTTTGGTTCAAAAAATTGTTTTCTCAGACATATTCCTTGCTAGCAGCAGAACATACACAACCTCAAAGATCACTGTACCACAAAACCGGAGAGCATGATTTCTAAACTTACATCTTGTTTCCTAAAACCCCCTTATTTTCATATGGGCAAATAAAACATTTTTAAAAACAGCTGTTCCCCACTTTCCTTCATGAAATGTGAAGTACCAAATAAGCAAGCAAGACTGTATTCGCTATTCAGATTACAGCCAACTTCATTGCCATAAAGCATTTTCTACAGAGCATTTTACAAAGCTCAGTTTTCACAATAGGTTCCTATACTAGTGTCCTGGTTTCAGCTGGGAAAGATGGGAAAGAGTTAATTTTATTTCTAGTGATTGCTGTGAAAGGAATGTCAAGAATGCATATTGGTTTAGTTGTTTCTAGGTGATGTTTATGCTATTCAAGGACTCTTTTCAGCTTCCCATAGAAGCTGAGAAGAAGCCTAGACAGAACGATGGAATGGCCAATGGAATATTCCATACCATAGACGTCATGCTCAGTATATAAATGGGGGTTGGCCAAGCAACGGGAATCTGATCATTGCTTGGGACAGCGTCAATTCACCGGCTGGTGAGTATGACTTGTGTCATTATTATTATTTTTCTTTTCTGTTATTGTTCTACTAAACTGTCTTTATCTCAACCCATGAGGTTTTTTCCTTTCCCTTTCCCCTCCTTTTCTCCCTCTTCTCCCCACCATTCTGGGGGGAAGGGGGAGAGCTGCAAGCAGCTTCATGGTCCTAGTTTCTGGCTGGGGTCAAACTACGGACAACCAGCCACTGAAGTCCTGGGGGTGCTGGAGTAAAACTTCCCCTGGCCCTTGTTACTCCTCCAAGTTTTAAGGTGGCTGAAAACAAACCCATTGTTTACTTTGTGCCATCTCCTACTCAGCTAATAGCAACTCCTGTTAATGCAGAAAAGATATGCTTCTCTACATCTAGTTTGAATTTTCCGCCTTCCATGAGTTCTCAGACAGCAGAATTAGAGAAACCATACAAGCTTCATTTCAAAGGCCCTTTAGTGAAGTACCACGCACTAGAGTTTTCCCCTTTTAAAAGCTGGACAGCTTATTTCCAGTCACAGAATCCCGCTATAATGCACTACTCCATTAACTTTGTAATACTCAACCTGATCTAGTACTTTTAAAAATAAACATTCCCAAAATCTTTTTTATCTAATGATAGTACAGTATTATAATCACTCCCTAAGTGAGGATGTTGGTTAAAAAGTCTGAAAACTGACTACCATTCAGCTATCTATCATTGAGAGGAGATTGAGAGTTTTAATTCCTAAAAGGCATTAAGTGTCTAACAGAATCAGCTGCTATATTTAACTCCATCCTTTTTTAATTTCAATGTGAGAAATGACCACACAGAGATTATCCTGCATCAGTAACAAGTGGAATCAAATTAAATTTTATCATTTCCAAGTCAACAATAAAGTTAACTCCATAATCTTACAGATAAAGTAAGGAAAGCTCTTTGCCTGCTAGTGATGACAAAAAATTACTATGTAACTACAAACAGAAAGAAAAACGAGAACTTGCCTCTGTAAACTGGACTCAGGTAAACAGCCTGCAAAACACTTTTTAAACCAAAGATCGTAAGGGAGTTTGCTCATTGCAGCACATGCTTTCAGATGCATCAAAAGTCTGTTATCTTCAATATTCAAATACTGCTCCAGAATTTTTGGCTGAGAAAGGAATTGGAAAATTTCAGATAACTCACACCAGAGTGCCCTCCATAGTTAATGCACACTGTAAGGCAAGAAGTGTCTTAAAAATTAAAAAAATCAAATAAAATAGCATGTTAAAATAACAAACTTGCATTATTTTAACTAAAAACATGACGTTCCAAAATACAAGTGTTGCTGATTTTTGCAATTAACTAATTAAGTACTTTACTAAACAAACAACCCACTTTCCTTAAATTGCTGACCACTAGCAGAACTTCCAAAATACGCAGTATTCCCTAATGCAAGGAGGTGTTTGAGCGCTTAAGGCAATGCAAAGATTAAACCTGCACTAATTACTGCTACCTTCACAAGTAAAATTGAGTTTCACTCACCTCAAACCTAATAGCCTTAGCACACGTCAAAAAAAAAAAAAAAAACCTACTCACAATGCAGCAAAATCCAGAAATCAATCCTGAGAGTAAATCCCTGTGCAATATATTAAAAGCTGGACATTTACTTCTTGTTTGAAAGTCCAAAGTATTTAGAAAGGCCAACAAAGCAGCACAAGAAAGAGATGAAAAATAAGTAATTCTCATTTTGTTTAAATTCTAATGTAACATAACATACATTTTCATAAGTTCAAGAGTGCCTTTATGGTTTTTGTCATAATTAGGTAAACAGCTATGGACTTCAGCTGTCAAAGGGCAAAAACCACTTCCTTTGTCCATATTCTAACATCCAGAGTCTTGGTACAATGTTCGTATTAAAATAAAAACTTAGTGAGGGAGACACTTGTACTCACTATGTAGTGAGTGCACATACTTTCTTTAAAAACGTTCCTCTGTCCTTCAAAAGGAATTACAGAAATTGGTATAATTTAATGTATCACTTCCAGCAATAGAAGGTAGGTTTAAAAACTATTTCTTACTTCAAAAAGAGTGAAAAAGGACACGCATAATATTATGCAACAAATTTTCATTCAGCGATTGCTAGTGCACAGGAACTCAGATACTTTCACCTCAGTGGATACTGTTAACTAAAAGGCTTCTTATCTTTTAAGACTATTTGAAGAATTACAAAAGTTTTTGTATAATGGAGCAAATTTTATAAGCATGCATTTTCTTTACAATCAAATTTTAACTTTATAAACCAGTAAAATAGAAATTCAAAATTAATATTCTATGAGAGCATTTAAATGTCCAATGCCATAAGAACTCTATTCCACTTTTTATTATAACTTAATTTGCAACATACTGTTTTTCTGAAGATATAGTACCCTGCTCCATCTACAAAGCAAAACAATTGTGCTTTGTCTATCATCCAATAAGCAGCACATATATGCCAGAGATGAAGCCTAAAAAGTAGCAGACATAAATCAAGATGTTCTTAACACTGTGACATCTTTAATTGTTTAAAATAAAGAAAATTCTTGAGTGACCAATTTGTGAGAAATATAATTCAACTAGATACAATATAAACTTAACTAACCTAAAAAGAAAATTGTAAGATGTAACTGAAAACTACCATGTAGCAAACAAAAACAATTTCTAATGTTATATTAGACAAAAACATCCTACAGGACAGTACAATCACAATGCAAAAAGCACTCTTCCCATTTTCTCAGAACAATTGGTAGAACAGAATCCAAGGGTGTCACCTCTGACACTCCAGTTGTCTCCATATATTAATGCCTTCCATGACTTCCTCCTCTCTCCTTTATAGCTCTCCTCACAAAAAAAAAAAAAAAAGGATTTTTTCCTTACCAATTGTTGTAATGAATCTTTGTGCTTGCTGTTCAGCTGATTCACAAAGCAACTGACAAGCCAATAGCATTCTATAGGATCCTCCACCATTTCCTCCATTGCTTTAGCAATAGCCAGAAACACTTCATCTTCAGGTTCCTGGAAAACAAAGCCAAAAAAGTGACCTACACAGAAGTACTGGACTATCTGATTTAAATTCTCCATATATTCCTTTTCCCTGCTATTTGGGGAAACAAACTGGAATCACCATAAACAAAGAGCTATTCCAACATTCATAAATAAAACATTGGGCAGCAGCTGCATTATGGTGACAGATACCTATTAAAAGCAGAACAAGTAAGACTTCCAGAACATACAACAGGAGTTTGGAACAACTCTGATTCAAAGTTCTCAAATGTGATAATATTACATCCTAACAAGGTACCGATAATCCTACTTCTATGTTGTCCTGGTTTGAGGTAAAACTGAACCAATTTTGTTCAGTAACTTCACTTCTTAGCTGGGCCTCTCTAACTACTGAAATTAACAGCATATTGTGCAGACACTGTTCACTCTCTCAGAGTGATAAGACCTATGTATATAGTTGATGCCCAGCCATGGTATGCAGAGAGGCTCTGGCTTATACTTATTGCTATAACACCCAAGGCCGACCAACTTTGTTATTTGCCCCATTGGAGGGTCAGAAGCGGAAAAGCATAGAGGGGTCCCACCTGCGGGGAGGAGCGGACAGGACAGGTGACCCAAAACTGACCAACAGGGTATTCCATCCCACCTGCCTCATGCTCAGTATAAAAGCTGAGGATCTAAGGGTCAGCTCTTCCTTCAATGGCTGACGTCTGAGGAGGACTCTGTTCATCTGCCTTTGATCCTGATCCTGAACGCAGATCCAGAATCTAGTTCCCATCCGTCACTGAGTCCAGCCTGGGACTGCCTCAGTGCCAGCCAGTGTCGTGACTGTCATCTCGGGAGCTTGATATGGTTTTGTATATATTTCACTATTTCTTCTTCTTTTGTTATTAATATTCCATTAAAGTAGTTTAGTTTCTTCTAAACTCGTAAGTCTCTTTTTCCTCCTCTGCCTCTCTCTTTGAAGAGGGGTAGAGGGGAGCATCTGTCAGTCCCATCTGGGGTCCCCCAGGTCCCCAGTAGCCAATTTGGCCTAAACCACGACATATGTCCCACATTTTTATACTGCATAGCAGCAGAATTTTTCATCCCACTCCTTGCTAAGGTCCAAACAGGCCCCTCAAAACACCTCTTTCATGGCTGTTACAGTTACTGAAAAAAAACAATGCAGCCATGAGTTATAGCCTACCTTCAACATACAGAAAATAATTTGGTTTGAGATAAACATCTTCCTAGAGACAATTAATTATCTCTTACAGGTGGCAAGTATCTTATTCCCCACAATACATGACCAGAAGCATGTGATGGGCATGCCATCATCTTTTCTCCAGAGGATAGACTTTCCTTACAGAAGTATCAGCATGCCTAAACCAGTTAATGACTGCACATAGTGTAGATGGAGGTGAGTTAACTCTAAACCAACTAGACCTCAGGCCAACAGCCAGCTCAGGAAGTCTCTAAACTGGGAAGATGCGCATGGAAAGTTTCTGTATCTGCCTTGTTTCTTACAGTCTTCCTTACACAGGCAGTACTGACTACATTAGGAGGCAGGGTAACAAGCCAGATATGTATCCAGAGTCTGATCTACTGTAACCATCAGCAGCCGTAAGCTATAGTATCACAGGCTTTTGCACAGATTACAACTCATGCAAAACACATGGATAGTCTAAATACTACCAGGATATGCCTCTGCCTCACTGACTGCTGCAAAACACACATATCCCTTCTTAACCTCTCTGCTTTCAGATCTGCTTTCAGATGCACAAAACGTACAAACCATAGAAATCTGCTAAATGACTCAAACATTTCAAAATATTTAGACCAATCCAACACCATCTTTACACTCCTTCTACCTCCACAATAGAACATGCGCATTACTATCAAGCAGTAGCCTCTTACAAGTTTAAGGGGACAGTGACTGCACTGAAAACAGGCTGGCATGAAAAGAACAAATGCTTTCCGCAGCAAAACAAACACAAGTTACAGGACTAATAACTGTGAAACTGCTAAACACCATCTCTATTAAACCCCATCACAGTACCGAGAGCAGCTAGTGCTCTGGGATGCTCTAGAGCAGATAAATTTTCAGGTCACTGGGTCACATGCCAAGATCAAGGTAATTTCTCCATAGGAAACTTGCAGGGTAGGATGGCCACATTCCTAGGCAACGGTAAGGGCATAAAACCGGTCTCCTTCCTGTGACAAAAGAATGCTGTACACCATCCTCCAGTCCAAAACTGGATTTTCCATGTTAACTTTGTTTAACTTTTTTTTTTTTTAATTTTTAACTTTTTTTTAAGTTCTTACGTCAAATTTTGTTATTACAGATGAAAAATAACAAAGCAAGCTCAGCTAGAGTGAACATGGATAAATTAACACTAAATACAGGATAAAATCCACTTCAGAAAGTCCCATGACTCCTTTCATCACCTCCTTGTTCCTAGATGCTTATACGTAAGATCAACACATTGTTTTTATCATCACACTATAGACATCAAAACATAGACTCATTTACCCATATGTGAGTACACTGTAAACTACAGAGTACATGCATTACCTGACAGAAGGCTGGATCAGTTCAGACTAACAGAAAAAGAAGGTCAGTACATTAAAGAATAGATTTAAAAACAAGTAATTTAAATATATGATGTAATTTGCAATAAATAGCTGCTTGTACTGGCGTGAATTACGCTTGTTCCAGGACATTTAAGAATCTATGAGCTCCGATGAGATTACATCATTTTCATTTCAGTGCTATAAAGAAACTGAAGTGTACTAGAGTACAAAGGGCTTGAAGCCTAGCAGGCAAAATACACAAAAGAGATTTTAAGGCATAAATTCTTACATAAGTACTTAGGGGAAAAAGAAAAGAAAAGCACTTGACTAAAATCCCTTATTTTTTACTAGTACTTCTCTGTTTTCCATTCACGTTACTTTGTCTATCTACATGCATTTGTGGGGCTACTTGCAGTTCAGTTTCTCACGGGTTTATAGTTTGAACTTAAATAAAATATTGTATTGAGAAGACTGTTAAAATGACAACTTACCAATGGAAAAGCCAAGTTTCGAGGCAATTTTCCTGATTCCAGTTGATGTATGCGGAGGAAAACATCAACCTGTGGGGTAGAATCATTAATAAAACGAATTACACGAAGAGCATGGTGTATATCCCAGTACTGCTCCTTCCGGTATTTCATCACCAAAGCATGAGATTCATGGTGAGGAGGAATAATTCCTAAAAATAAAAAAAAGAAAAAAAAATTTAAAAAAGGGATAAGCAACTGTAAAGAGAAAAAAACAGAGCACTCAAACTCCCTTTCCAAGAGATCTGCCTAAATTCAATTCTACAACTCCAGCCTACAAGAAATGTAGGACCTGGCACTGCAGTTTGTTTATAAACTCGGTCACAGAACACAGGGCGAAAATTCTACAAAACTGGAAGGTAACAGACCAACAAAGCACTTTAGAATTTTATTTATAAATACAAATATGCTACATTAACAGAGCATAGGCAAAATCTACCCTTAAGACTTGTTTCTCAAGCTCTTGTACAAGGTTTTTAGGAAATGACCACTCTTTTGTACACCCTATCAATATGCTGATTAGAAGTGTCATTGCTGGGATAGATGGAAAATAACTTAATTGCTTTACTCTCCCTCTCCAACAAGCTTTCTTTATTTTTAAATTGTGAATATTACTTGTTAGTTGTTTATAGCTACCTGTAGTTTTTAATATAGTACTAGTTGCATATTTATATCCAGCTTCCATTTATTTCAAAAACACGGTGGATGTAGAATGACTTTTATATACATTAGCTGTTAATGTCCTCAAATTCTACACTTTGAGATGACCAGCGAATAAATACATGCAACTAATGCCAAGATACTGTACATTCCAGTCTTATTTAATCTACTGTTAGATCTCTGCCAGAAAATTCTTTACTCACTGTATTATAGAGATTATTCCTCTCTAAAACAACATTCAGAAGCAAAATCAATCACATACATTTTAATCTGTAACTGATTCGACCTAAGAATACCACCCAAATACTTTGCAAAGTAAGGTTTTTTTACTTTTTTAGCACAACACAAATATTTTTCTAGTTTCCTAGGAGGAAAAATAAAAAAGAGAAAAAAAGTATCTAAGTAGAGAGGCAGAGAAAATTAAACCGTTTATGACCTCCAGAAGAGATGCTCAACATTTCAGTTGACCCTTCCCTTCACTCAAGACTAGATCTTGCCGTGCACTGATGTTCACAACAAAACTGTCACAGGCTTCAACAGAAATAAGATCTTACATACACCAAAGAAAAAAAAAATGCCACTTTCATATCACTAGTGGAGCAGAGTTTTTCCCATTGTAGAAACCTGTGAGAACAAAATATTCTTCAAAAATCAGTTCTGAAACAGGCTACCTGCTGCTTTTATCTGTCATTGAAAAAAAAAAAAAAATCTGTCAAGTGTTAAAACATGAAATGGCTGAGTTTTAGTAACAAGCATAATAGACAGAAAATGATCTTTTATTTTCCAACTACAAACCTGTCTGCATTTCAAAAGCTGGGACAGAGCAAGACATTTTTCACATTATGCAAAAACGGAGTCAGCATCATGATTTTGTAGGTACATACTGCCAACTGTTTTCCTCGAGTACAAAAGACTACCTTAGGCAGACAGAAAAGAATCTTGAACAACACAGGGATGTCTAGAAACCATCATGAGTCACACTTGAACAGGAAGTTAACGGAGACATCGCTGACACACCACGTAACCTGGGACAGCATCGAGCCTTGGTACGTGTCTGAGATAATTCTGCTGACAGGACAGAATTCCTTTTGTTAAACGATTAATATTATTTAGAGAAGATGTAACACCTCCCACCAGAAACGGACTGGGCTATTGTTCTAATCATTTAGGAAGAGATCGTTTGCATTGCTTTTCTGAATACCAGCTTTTCTAACGAGTGTTAACACTGAGATGCAGCATAAGAAAACTCCTTGTACCTCTGCTCATCCAAGGAGTATACAGAATGACAGTATGCGTACTTGAGACAAATCACTCTGGGTTTAAAATACAAAATCCTTTAAAAACATTAATACAATTTTCCATACAGTTAACTCAGAGGGTAATAATATGATTCACAAATCATCCTATCTAAAACAGTCAAAGATAGACCACTGGCTCTGCAGTGAGCTACAAGTTTACCAAGAGACTCTATTTTGCTATTATAATTTTAGCTGAAGGATCTTGTACCGAGTAACTTGTTTAAACCTCCTACACTGTATTTCCTACTACTAATATTTTAAAGGATGCTGACTACTTTACTAGGGCGCAGGGTGCAAGAATCTTTTTCATCCTAAAATTAGTACTCTAACAGCAGAGACTTCTATCAAGTAGGATTACTCTGTTAGTTCAATGACCAATGCCAAGAACTTCAAGTTTTATAATTACATCTTGCACCTTCTGCACAGTGTTCCTTTACTACCTCTCCCAATTAAAGGCTTACAAATCCAAGTAATCAGGAATATGAAGCCACAATTTTTAACTTGTAGAAAATGGGATGGGAAAAAAAGAAGAAAAAATCAAAAGATTGTTTAAAACTCAGCTAAAACTTCCTAATACATTATTTCAAACTCCAAACACTGCAGTGGAACATGGAGACCAAGAAGGGAAACAGAAGACATCTATCTGAACGCTGTTGAAGATCATGGCACAGCCTGAGATAAATAAACATCCTGAAGCAGAAAAACACTGTTTCGTACAATACTCATTCTGAGGTAGGAGCCACCAATCTTCCTGACTCTGAATCACGTGCCAAAATCTTCATGTAAAAGAGATATATGGGACATGTATCACACATTCTGGAGAGCCAAAGGACAAAGAAGTAGGATAGTTCACAGACAGCAAAAGACAGCAGCTTCCAAGCCAACTGATGTTGCTGGTCTCTCCCTGATGAAACAACATTTCAGATATCGGCACCCTTCCTGCTAGCGCAGCCCTGGTAATGCATGACTGAGCATGACAGCTACACTCCAGCTTTTCAAAAGTGGCACAATGCTCCACCACCAACACTATGCTAAATCACATTTCTCTTCCAGAGATTCAGTCAGACGATGTACTTTCACGCTCAATCTGGCAGTGTTTCTCTACATGCACCAACTCTAAGGGAAACTCTCCAGATACCTTGTAAGGGTCAGAACTCCTGGACCTTCCACAACCCCTCCTGACTCCAAGTGACATGACCTCACAGCTAGTAAACCCAACACACTTGACCAGTTACTGCAAAGTCATTAGCGGTTTCGAATTAGTCATCTAACACACTTTGGATAGGGGGGGCGCGTACGGTTTCTGCGTTTACCATAATTTGTCTCTGGCCTCATAACTTCTTCAATGGCAAATACAATTTAAAGCCAGAAGCAAAAACAGAAGAAATCAAGATTTTTATAGAACACAAAGCTTCTCTTTAGAATAAACATCCATTACATACCTTGCCCATTTTTTTAAGTTTAATCATAGCTCTACTTCAACTTGATTGTCTGTTATTTTAGGAACAGAACTGAATATTTTATCAAGTATCAGTGACTTGATAATCCACCTTTCAAATCCATGTTACAAATTTACTTGGATATTGTTACAAAGTTAAATATAGAAATAGACTCTTCTAGGCACACTTCAGCAAAAGTTCTCAAAAACTATGCATGGAATATTGTTTTGTAATTGCCCTTGTGCATCCTACTTGAATACAAAAATAGGCTAAATATGTATGAGTAGGCAAGGTAGTACAGAATAATCCACGTAATTAACTACCTAAAGAAAAAAAAAAACCAACAAAAAATACATCTTCCTACATACTCATTTCTACAGAGGATCACTGATGTTATATTTCATACCTAAAAGCACTTTCCACACCAGTATACGATACATGGATGGGAGAGGAAACCTTTGACTGAATGTGCAAAGCTTCTCAATATCTGTAGAGAAATAAAGAGGGGAAAAAAAGTTAAGGTAAATTTAAATAATTACAAATAGGTTTGAGCCTCTGATCTACCCAAGTATGACAAATCCTTAGCTGCAGATCGAAATCTCCACTTTCAGCATGTATTATCAACAAATGCTTCCACTGCTTCAATTGAGAATGGAACGTACCCAATAAGCTGCAACAATTTTGCAAAATACATAGGTTGGCTTCATTTACAATAAAACTACCCTAGGTTTCACTAGGAAGAAACTCTACCATTTTTATAGACATTTTGTAAATCGTGTTGCTATGTCAAAACAATTAAGGGCTTTGTTAAAGGGACATTTATCTTTCTGTTCTGTTAGAGATGGGGCACTCCTCAGGGACCAACAGCAATAGCAAAATCTTCATTGTTTTGAGGTTAGATGGAATTAACAGCATGAGACGATATATTTTCAGATTAAAACTGCGTTCATTAAAAATCATTTAGTTTCTTGGGCACAGAGAATAAAAGAAGAAAAAAGAAGCAAGCAGACAATAGGTTTAACAGTTTTAAAAATCAGATTTTCAGATCTTCGAAACACAAAGGGCTGCTAGTAACAGCTGAGAGATTAGCGGTAAAAGATGCAAAACTTAAATGAGTACTAAGCACAGCAGGTAAAAATTTCTATTATTCCTTCTTCAGCTCCAAATCACCAAAGTAATAGAGGAAAAAGTGAAATCAACTTGCCCAACCGGTCATCTTTTAACAGAATTTCCAGTGACTTCTTTTCTTCAACTCCACGAAATCCCACTTTTTCATAATACACTGAGCGGAAGTTTCTCTGAGAGTCGTCAGCCATGATTGATTCCTTCTGGATAAATAGTAATTCCCCTTAAGACTTACAAGAATACGTTCCTACTGTGTTAAGGTCAAGTACTGACAAAAGTTGACTGCCTATGTCTCTGTACTATTAATAAAACCTACAGAATACGGAAATCTTCCAAGATTTTTTTCATCATATGCTAATATAGACAATCATAAAAATAACTGAACCTAAACAAGGTCTAAAGATATGCAATTTCCAAACAAAACACAAGAATTTTATAATTTTTTTTATTCCTGTAGTAAATTACACTACTTTTCCAAAAGCTTAAAAAAAAATGCTTAGTCTTTCATGTGATATTGTATATTTCAAAACCTCTATAAAAATACAGTTAAGAGTGACAAAATTTTGGCTACTGAAACCCTAATCAAGTATAACTGTTATCCAAATAAGTAAAATCACCAGGTTTCATACTCACCAGACAAGGTAACCAGAAGCAAGGACAAGCTGAAGTTGGCCTCAGTAGCACAGAGGTGACAGGAAAGAATAAGGCTAGGTATGTAGGTTTGTTCTTAAGTTGCAGATTTGAATTAAATGTTCATGTTGTTATCAGGTGCTATAACAGCCACAGTCTTGAGCTTGTGATTCCAGTACTAAAAAGAAATAAATGTCTCATCCTTATACTGAAAGCAATGGTAATGTGCGGTGAGTACTCTGTGTTTTATGACAAATGTAACTGACATTTCAATTCAGTTCAACCTTCTAAATACTAATTCTCTCTCCTCTACAAGGTTGCAGATATGAGAAGGTTCTGTTTTGTAACTCAAAGAACTAAAAAAAAATCTTAACTTTTATGCCTAGTGACAGCAGCAAAATTTGGAGAAAAATAATTTGTTTTGAGTGAGGAGCAATGGGTGAATTATGCCCTGGAAAGCTTTTCTAGTTAAATTCTTCTTTTCCTTGCTGAACCAAAGCACACATCAGGAGCAAAGCATCTGCAGATATAAACAAAGGCCACAATTTTGCAAAGAATGCACGTATTTAAATCTGTACACCCACTAGGCCTATTTCAAATTAAGTCCATTTTTAGTGCTTTGCAGGATCAGGTCCAAGATCAGACAGAGAAATATAAACCAGCAAAGGACTGAATTAATGCTTTCTGAGGTAGCCCAAATACCATCTCAAAACCAGAGAAAAAAATATTTCTATTACTTGCAAGACATTCCAATTGTACACTAATCTTATAAAGACGACTGGGAGGTTCATGTATTGTGCATGTAAGGATCCAACGATTAGAGTGTTTACTACTTAACATTGCAGCCATGTGTAAAAGCACGCTTATGATGGTACAGACACTCAACTACATTTAAAATATTTGAAATTTTTAAAATTGGAATTTAGTATGTGCTATTTAGAAAACATTTAGCCCGTACCACTCATGGAAAGCTGACAGTAGAGTCACAGAACAGAAATAATAAATATAATTTGAAAAATAACAGCATGATCTGTAAGAAAGGAACGCTAGTCTAATAATTTTAAACTATCACTATACCAGCAGTACATTTGATTTACTCAGTGGAAAAAAAGGAGGAACACTGTTTCCTCCCTCCACATTTAGGATATATAGTTTCATGTCAGGAAAACAACTGATGTTCCAATCTTTACACGTATCCTTGATAAACTGGAAAAAGGAAGGGAGAAAACAAATCCATACCCAGCTCATTGGAAGCGTTATGTCCAAAAAGGGTACAATCAACTCATCCTGTCTTCAAAGATTAATGCATTTTTCGGCCTTAATAGCACTTTTCAACGCATTACTAAATTTCACGCCAGGTGATTTTTAACAGCAGCGATGACATACACACACCGAGCAGAGCGCCCGCGGGGATGCCGGCACGCTCCTGCCCCGGGGCAGGCGGCCCTCCCTTCCACAGACCGAGCCAAACCCCGGGCGCAGCCTCGGCAGGCCGGAGGGCACCGACCCCCACCCGGCCCCGACAGCAGCGGCCTCGGCCACCCGTTCTGGGCTTTGAGGCTGCGGTCCCCGGTCCCCGATACATTTCCAAAGGAAAACACGGACACGGTTGGGCACAGGATGACTTACCCACTCACCCACCCCACTCCTCACACACACCCCCCACGGCGGGCAAGGCAGGGCGGGGGCAGGCCCACGCGCCGGGCG